GTCTGTCAACCCTTTTTGAGGTGTTCTCCATTCAACATAGCCATAATTATCTTTTTACGTACCCCCTGTGAGAATCACTTTAGCCCAAGTAATGTTTCAACTATCGAAAAGTGGGAATGTCAGGATCCATCTCGGTCACTCTTCAACCGCAGGATTTACATCTTTTCCACCATAATGTGCCAAAGGCAGAGATACAAGATGTACAAATGTTGACCCAAATGAGCGAGCTAATCGGTGAGCATCATTTGCAATACTCTTGGAGGTGTCGCCGGAAGCCAATGGCACAAAGGGGGGGGGGGAAGACTCGGGTTTTTCAAGCCCAACCTGGGCATATGGTGGACCCCCAAAAACAATTATCTCTGGTTGATTAATCCGTGATCGAGAATAGATCAGTGAGAAATTGATCGATGGCGGGTGATCTCACGGCTGACCAACCCTTTAGATGCCAAGGAGAGAGGGTGGTATTGGTGGCACTGCGTAGCACTGGGGTGCTGAAGCGAGCGAAGACAAAATATTACAAAAGGGCAAGCAAAAAGAGCATCTCTGCCCAGGATCGTTCCATCTGTGGCTGCGGATGAGAAGCTGTACAGTGCGCAAACCCACCTGGACAGAATCCCGCGAGCAAATGCGAGCAAGAGCATCTGTGCCATGGTCAAAACTCATGTAAAAGGTCCATGACGTGCTTGTCTATATTCCTTATTCTGGGGTTCACCAGCCCTGTGAATCAGCCCTGATGGAATTGTTGACCCTGGCACCGACCCTAGCTCTTGAGGTGCTTCACCCACCTTCTCTGCTTCCTCCTCTGAATCAAAGGCCCAGGAATCTCCGGAATCACCTCCGGAACCGGAATCATCCCAGTCTGTGCCTGGAAGACAAAGACCTCGTGGCTTTGATTCAGCTCCTTTTGCAGCATCTCCTCTCGCCCGGGCCGGAAGACATCGCGCAGGTTGCGGCTGGGGTCGACTGGATCCTCGATGTGCAAAACTCCCTTCTGCCGGCGGCTCAGCGCCCGAAAATCCTCCGAGTCCACATTCAGCGCACGAGACTTCCGGCCCAGGCGTACAGACACCACCTCCTCGCCCCAGCGGAAAGGCTCATAACGACAGGTGGGGCCATAGCTATTGGAATAGAAGGCAAAAAATGCGGCCAAGTGGTTCCACAGACCTCTTGACTCTTTCACTTCGCTTGGGCGCCAGCTTTTTACATCATCTTGACCCAGTCGCTCCTTCAAATCTTCCAGATCATTCGCCAGGCCCTCCTGCAAACATGGCACCTCATCGCCGCTGGCGACCTGCAGAAAGTAAATCGCCATCAAGATGAAGGCGTAGGACGACAAGTTGCCGTCCGGCGCTCCGCAGATCTGATTCGCCTTGGCCCAAAGCTTCACAGCAGTCCCGAACTCCGGAATCATCGGGTCTAGCTGTGCGTAGGCGGCCAAAAGCTTGGAATTCGCTAGGGCCTTGAAATTGTTCACCGAAATGTCGACGTCTCGCATCTGGTACTCCAACTTCAAGATGGGGACCCTGGCCGACAGAATCACTTCTTTCACCTTGAACTCCGGCTTGCCCAAGAGTACTTTCCGCAGCTTCATCAGAATCTCTTTGCTGTCGGTTTCCTCTGCTTGTGCGGCATCAGGAACTCTCAGCATGATATCCAAGTCACAGCCCTTCAAGCCAAAGCCGGTCGTCATGCTACCAAAAGCGTGAGTTTTCCACTGCCGCTCCGGTTCCAAATCCTCCACAATTTGGTCTAGCGCCTTCATGCAAGCCTCCGCTTGTGCGGTATCTTCTGGAACAGTCTGCTCCTTGGCTTGCAGCAACGCGTCCAACTTCCAGCTCTGAACCAACATGTACTGCAGTTGCAGCGCTCCATCCCAGGCCGGGTCGACTGGCAAATCCGGTGCGTTCCACCCAAAAGCTTCGCTCTCGCGCTCTGAAGGCAAAACTGGAGCCGCTGGCACTGCAGCAGCTTGCACAGCAGCTTGCACGGCAGCTTTGACTCGCTCTTTCTTTGACTCCTTCTTGACGTCTTTGGATTTCTGGGGCTCCGTCTCGCGTGGCCCATGCTCATCTTTGGACATATTGTTTGGGACCGTCTTCAAGTCCGTCTTTGCAGTATCCCATTCGATCGGTTCCTTCTGCTGTTCCTTCTTCTGCTCCTTCTGCTTCTTCTGCTCCTTCTTGTTCGCCTTCGTGTCTGTTGCCGTGCTCCATGCTTCAGGATCTCCATTCCACTCCTCGACTCTCAACATCTTTGGCTTGACCGGCTCGGGCCAGTAGCTCCAGTCATAGTCCTCATACGTTCGGAACAGCTTCTCAACCGTCTTGCTCTGCCATCCGGTCCAGGTGTCTGATGTGTCTGATGTGTCTGGCTCCCGCTGCATGTGCAGGAACGGCACATGGATCCGCCTCTTCCAAGCGCAGTGCCGGCTGTTGCAGCGCCATTCATCGCTACGCCCACACACGCTGAAGTCCCGGGCCAGCTCGTGCAAGAGGGCCATGGGCTCCGTCACCAAATTGTGCTCCAAGCGAAGCCACAAGGGACTCAGCTGCTTGTCGCGGTTGGAGGCCGCTGCAACAATGATGCGCACGCCCTTGCCTGTCAGCTGGTTGTGCGACAGGTGAATCTCCTCAAGGCATGCGCAGCTTGTAATCAGCCTGGCGATATGACGAGCGCCATCGTCTCCAATCTGATTCTTGAACGCCTTGAACACACGCAACTCCGGGCAGCGGATGCCAAACTTCACCACTGGGTCGAGCCCCTTAGCTGTCAGATGGTTCTGTGAAACGTCAACTTCCCCGTAGTGGGTGCCTGCTTTCTTCAACCCCAGCGTCACCACATCCGAATCCGCCAGTTCCTGCTTCGCAAAGCTCAAGACATCCCACTTCTGCCCCTTTCCCATGGCTCCGCAGATAAACCGCTGCCTCTGCCCGCACAAATTGGCGCGCGTCAGGCTGGAACCTCAGGAAAACCCGGGCGCCAGGCCCACCAAACATCCCGACAACCGGTACAAACTCCGCGAGCGCGACTCAGCTCAATCCCCGCAACATCCACAACATGTTTGTCTTGGACCTCTATGTACATTGCCCTGAATGCGGCTGGATACAAAGTCCAGAACAAATGTACGTGTCCTTGTATATATATATATTATTTACATAGATATAAATAAGGTTGACCAGAGCAAACTGGGCATTAGTGAACGTGGCTCATAGATATGGGGCGTGCCAGCGAACACGTCAAATCCCTACTGGCATCAACATCAATCAACCAGAGTTCCACTTCTTGGTTCCCAGGTACTTGTCCCAACCCTTCATATGAGGTCTGTTCAATCAAAACAACTATCATTGAAGATTCCCGCACACACACAAAGGATGGCGCAGCCGCTCGAATAATTGGTGGGGGCTAAAGGCCTGTCCTTTTGAAACTGGAAACATGGTGTTGGACATTTCGGAGCAAACTGAAACCAGTGCCGTCTGTCAACCAACGCTGGCCTAGGAACACGCGTCGGGGGCTAACAGAATTCACGAGGAACACACGCGCAGGCGGAGTTCAAGGAAACAATTCAAGAAAACCCAAAACAAAAGGAAAAGCGATCTGAAAAGCTTCTGGTACTTCACCACAGTTGCAAGGGCTGGTGCTTTTTTTTGAGGGTACCCTTTAAAGGTTGGTTTAAAAGGACAAGGGCACCCATAGGATTCTGGCGCAGTCATCTAGGAAAACAAGGCAAGGAGCTTGCAATGGGCTAAAAATCTCGCTTTCTCAGTCGTGGTTGCTCCAAGGGCTCGAGGGTCCGAAAATTGGCCCCAAACCAAACCTCTCGAGACCATATACATAAAACAAAGAGGGTGGGTTGACCAGTTATTTTGCACACCGAAAAGGAGTACACCTAAACTAAGCTCGTCAGTCAACAATCCGATAGACATTCAGCCCAGTCTAAGTCGAGACATTTCGACATTGGGCGATGTGTCGGGATTCGCATTGACAGTCTTCGACACTAAGAAATGACTTTGCAAAGTCAAAATGAGGCTCTGAACGGCAGCTAGCAATCCATACCAACTGTGAAAACACACATGTCTGAAAGCATCTCCCAGGTCCGTCAGCATTGCACCATGACGGGTGACTGTCTCACGCCCGCGTCTTACCCTCAAGCAATGTGCATTCCATGCCACTCATGTCCAGATGCTGCAGTGGCAAAAAGCAAACTCGAACAAGAGACGCAATCTTCTTGCCAACGGCACTTGCGAGAACAAGGAGCTCCATTTTTTGCCACAAGGCTTCGCTGGCATTCGGCGTCCCGGGTTATGGTACAATGCGACACGACTGTCAGCGTGTCCCTCAGGCCACAAGTCCGATGGCTGCAAACATCCTTCGGAAGGGCCAGGTCTGCCAGTCTAGCACTCACACTCATTCAGGACATCATGACCTTCAAGACAGGTCCAGGAAAGGAAGTTTTGTTTGGTGAGTGGGCTCGTATGCGCACGAAACTGACGCGTATTTGAGTAATTAGGTTGAATCCTGTTCGTGCGTGTGTGTTGCGACTCTCAGATGGGACAGTTTGTATCCGCGGTATGGCTGCCCAAGAGTGGGCTCCAGACTGGAATCTCAACATGTGGCCCCCGAACTCTAATGCAAACGCCATTCGGGTAGATCATTTCTTGGGATGACGGTTTTCCTTTTGGTTCCCCTTTAACCCCCCCAAAAAAGACACAAAAGTCCAGATGGTACCCTCAAAAACGACATGCAAACCCAGACATGCTCAAAATGACTTGAACATCTGTGCAGAATATCTTTGAACAGCTGCCATCACAGCAATCTGGGTCCAGCCTGAAATAAGCGGGGTCATGAGTCATTTTGGGGCCCTTTCAGTCGGCAAATGTTTGAGTTTGCGGTGTCATTTCAAGCATAAAGCGAATGAACCATTCCTTCAGAGTCCGGACGGCTGGTTGCTAGGGTGTGTCAAACAATCAAAGACCGACCATCCCACAAGTGGTTCCTATTCTGCAACAGGCCCAGGTCTAAAATGGTGACGTCAGCCTCAAAATGCCCCAAACTGATGCATCTGTTGCATTCAGACCCGCCTGGCCAACCCTTTGAATGCTGAATGCTTCAGGGCAGTATCAAAACTCTTGGGTCCTGAAGAGAGCGAAGGCAAACGCACGGCGGAAACGAACATGACCTACTGCCCGCGCCGGGATCATTGCGTCTGCATCGGATGCGCTGTATATATGTCAACTCACCTGGACAGCATCCCGAGATGCTGGCAATACTGTCTGTTACCAGCTTGGGCCGAACTCCGCAGCCTTAAAGCCGAAAGCGTCTTTCGCGGCTCTGAATCAAAGGCCCACTCTCCGGAACCTCCGGAATCATCCCAGTCTGTGCCTGGAAGACAAAGACCTTGTGGCTTTGCTTTAGCTCCTGCTGCAGCATCTCCTCTCGCCCGGGCCGGAAGACATCGCGCAGGTTGCGGCTGGGGTCGACTGGATCCTCGATGTGCAGAACTCCCTTCTGCCGGCGGCTCAGCGCCCGAAAATCCTCCGAGTCCACATTCAGCGCACGAGACTTCTGGCCCAGGCGTACAGACACCACCTCCTCGCCCCAGCGGAAAGGCTCATAACGACAGGTGGGGCCATAGCTATTGGAATAGAAGGCAAAAAATGCGGCCAAGTGGTTCCACAGACCTCTTGACTCTTTCACTTCGCTTGGGCGCCAGCTTTTTACATCATCTTGACCCAGTCGCTCCTTCAAATCTTCCAGATCATTCGCCAGGCCCTCCTGCAAACATGGCACCTCATCGCCGCTGGCGACCTGCAGAAAGTAAATCGCCATCAAGATGAAGGCGTAGGACGACAAGTTGCCGTCCGGCGCTCCGCAGATCTGATTTGCCTTGGCCCAAAGCTTCACAGCAGTGCCAAACTCCGGAATCATCGGGTCCAGCTGTGCGTAGGCGGCCAAAAGCTTGGAATTCGCCAGGGCCTTGAAATTGTTCACCGAAATGTCGACGTCTCGCGTCTGGTACTCCAACTTCAAGATGGGGACCCTGGCCGACAAAATCACTTCTTTCACCTTGAACTCTGGCTTGCCCAAGAGTACTTTCCGCAGCTTCATCAGAATCTCTTTGCTGTCGGTTTCCTCTGCTTGTGCGGCATCAGGAACTCTCAGCATGATATCCAAGTCACAGCCCTTCAAGCCAAAGCCGGTCGTCATGCTACCAAAAGCGTGAGTTTTCCACTGCCGCTCCGGTTCCAAATCCTCCACAATTTGGTCTAACGCCTTCATGCAAGCCTCCGCTTGCGCGGCATCTTCTGGAACAGTCTGCTCCTTGGCCTGCAGCAACGCGTCCAACTTCCAGCTCTGAACCAACATGTACTGCAGTTGCAGCGCTCCATCCCAGGCCGGGTCGACTGGCAAATCCGGTGCGTTCCACCCAAAAGCTTCGCTCTCGCGCTCTGAAGGCAAAACTGGAGCCGCTGGCACTGCAGCAGCTTGCACAGCAGCCTGCACGGCAGCTTTGACTCGCTCTTTCTTGGACTCCTTCTTGACGTCTTTGGATTTCTGGGGCTCCGTCTCGCGTGGCCCATGCTCATCTTTGGACATATTGTTTGGGACCGTCTTCAAGTCCGTCTTTGCAGTATCCCATTCGATCGGTTCCTTCTGCTGTTCCTTCTTCTGCTCCTTCTGCTTCTTCTGCTCCTTCTTGTTCGCCTTCGTGTCTGCCGTGCTCCATGCTTCAGGATCTCCATTCCACTCCTCGACTCTCAACATCTTTGGCTTGACCGGCTCGGGCCAGTAACTCCAGTCATAGTCCTCATACGTCCGGAACAGCTTCTCAACCGTCTTGCTCTGCCATCCGGTCCAGGTGTCTGATGTGTCTGATGTGTCTGGCTCCCGCTGCATGTGCAGGAACGGCACATGGATCCGCCTCTTCCAAGCGCAGTGCCGGCTGTTGCAGCGCCACTCATCGCTACGCCCACACACGCTGAAGTCCCGGGCCAGCTCGTGCAAAAGGGCCATGGGCTCCGTCACCAAATTATGTTCCAAGCGAAGCCACAAGGGACTCAGCTGCTTGTCGCGGTTGGAGGCCGCTGCAACAATGATGCGCACGCCCTTGCCTGTCAGCTGGTTGTGCGACAGGTGGATCTCCTCAAGGCATGCGCAGCTTGTAATCAGCCTGGCGATATGACGAGCGCCATCGTCTCCAATCTGATTCTTGAACGCCTTGAACACACGCAACTCCGGGCAGCGGATGCCAAACTTCACCACTGGGTCGAGCCCCTTAGCTGTCAGATGGTTCTGTGAAACGTCAACTTCCCCGTAGTGGGTGCCTTTCTTCAACCCCAGCGTCACCACATCCGAATCCGCCAGTTCCTGCTTCGCAAAGCTCAAGACATCCCACTTCTGCCCCTTTCCCATGGCTCCGCAAATAAACCGCTGCCGCTGCCCGCACAAATTGGCGCGCGTCAGGCTGGAACCTCAGGAAAACCCGGGCGCCAGGCCCACCAAACATCCCGACAACCGGTACAAACTCCGCGAGCGCGACTCAGCTCAATCCCCGCAACATCCACAACATGTTTGTCTTGGACCTCTATGTACATTGCCCTGAATGCGGCTGGATACAAAGTTCAGAACAAATGTACGTGTCCTTGTATATATATATATATATTATTTACATAGATATAAATAAGGTTGACCAGAGCAAACTGGGCATTAGTGAACGTGGCTCATAGATATGGGGCGTGTCAGCGAACACGTCAAATCCCTACTGGCATCAACATCAATCAACCAGAGTTCCACTTCTTGGTTCCCAGGTACTTGTCCCAACCCTAGATATGAGGTCTGTTCAATCAAAACAACTATCATTGACGATTCCCGCACACACACAAAGGATGGCGCAGCCGCTCGAATAATTGGTGGGGGCTAAAGGCCTGTCCTTTTGAAACTGGAAACATGGTGTTGGACATTTCGGAGCAAACTGAAACCAGTGCCGTCTGTCAAGCAACGCTGGCCTAGCAACACGCGTCGGGGGCTAACAGAATTCACGAGGAGCACACGCGCAGGCGGAGTTCAAGGAAACAATTCAAGAAAACCCAAAACAAAAGGAAAAGCGATCTGAAAAGCTTCTGGTACTTCACCACAGTTGCAAGGGCTGGTGCTTTTTGTTTGAGGGTACCCTTTAAAGGTTGGTTTAAAAGGACAAGGGCACCCATAGGATTCTGGCGCAGTCATCTAGGAAAACAAGGCAAGGAGCTTGCAATGGGTTAAAAATCTCGCTTTCTCAGTCGTGGTTGCTCCAAGGGCTCGAGGGTCCGAAAATTGGCCCCAAACCAATCCTCTGGAGACCATACACATAAAACAAAGAGGGTGGGTCGACCAGTTATTTTGCACACCGAAAAGGAGTACACCTAAACTAAGCTCGTCAGTTAACAATCTGATAGACGTTCAGCCCAGTCTAAGTCGAGACATTTCGACATTGGGCGATGTGTCGGGATTCGAATTGACATCTTTCGACAATAATAAATGACTTTGCAAAGTAAAAATGAGGCTCTGAACGGCAGCTAGCAATCCATACCAACTGTGAAAACACACATGTCTGAAAGCATCTCCCAGGTCCGTCAGCATTGCACCATGACGGGTGACTGTCTCACGCCCGCGTCTTACCCTCAAGCAATGTGCATTCCATGCCACTCATGTCCAGATGCAGTGGCAAAAAGCAAACTCGAAAAAGAAACGCCATCTTCTTACCAACGGCACTTGCGAGAACAAGGAGCTCCACTTTTGCCCACAAGGCTTCGCTGGCATTCGGCGTCCCGGGTTATGGTACAATGCGACACGACTGTCAGCGTGTCCCTCAGGCCACAAGTCCGATGGCTGCAAACATCCTTCGGAAGGGCCAGGTCTGGCAGTCTAGCACTCACACTCATTCAGGACATCATGACCTTCAAGACAGGTCCAGGAAAGGAAGGTCTTGTTTGGTGAGTGGGCTCGTATGCGCACGAAACTGACGCGTATTTGAGTAATTGGGTTGAATCCTGTTCGTGCGTGTGTGTTGCGACTCTCAGATGGGACAGCCTGCATCCGCGGCATGGCTGCCCAAGAGTGGGCTCCAGACTGGAATCTCAACATGTGGCCCCCGAACTCTAATGCAAAAGCCATACGGGTAGATCATTTCTTGGGATGATTGTTTTCCTTTTGGTTCCCCTTTAACCCCCCGCCAAAACAAGACACAAAAGTCCAGATGGTACCCTCAAAAACGACATGCAAACCCAGACATGCTCAAAATGACTTGAACATCTGTGAAATCTTGCAGAATATCTTTGAACAGCTGCCGTCACAGCAATCTGGGTCCAGCCTGAAATAAGCGGGGTCATGAGTCATTTTGGGGCCCTTTCAGTCGGCAAATGTTTGAGTTTGCGGTGTCATTTGCCCAGGGCCAATTTACAGCCTGGCAAGCTGTGCAGTGTTGTTTGGCAGCAAAGCAAGCCCCAATGAGAAGTTCAAAGATCTTGCAAGCATAAAGCGAATGAACCGTTCCTTCAGAGTCCGGAGGGCTGGTTGCTAGGGTGTGTCAAGCAATCAAAGACCGATCATCCCACAAGTGGTTCCTATTCTGCAACAGGCCCAGGTCTCAAATGGTGACGTCAGCCTCAAAATGCCCCAAACTGATGCATCTGTTGCATTCAGACCCGCCTGGCCAACCCTTTGAATGCTGAATGCTTCAGGGCAATATCAAAACTCTTGGGTCCTGAAGAGAGCGAAGGCAAACGCACGGCGGAAACAAACATGACCTACTGCCCGCGCCGGGATCATTGCGTCTGCATCGGATGCGCTGTATATATGTCAACTCACCTGGACAGCATCCCGAGATGCTGGCAATACTGTCTGTTACCAGCTTGGGCCGAACTCCGCAGCCTTAAAGCCGAAAGCGTCTTTCGCGGCTCTGAATCAAAGGCCCACTCTCCGGAATCACCTCCGGAATCATCCCAGTCTGTGCCTGGAAGACAAAGACCTTGTGGCTTTGCTTTAGCTCCTGCTGCAGCATCTCCTCTCGCCCGGGCCGGAAGACATCGCGCAGGTTGCGGCTGGGGTCGACTGGATCCTCGATGTGCAGAACTCCCTTCTGCCGGCGGCTCAGCGCCCGAAATTCCTCCGAGTCCACATTCAGCGCACGAGACTTCTGGCCCAGGCGTACAGACACCACCTCCTCGCCCCAGCGGAAAGGCTCATAACGACAGGTGGGGCCATAGCTATTCGAATAGAAGGCAAAAAATGCGGCCAAGTGGTTCCACAGACCTCTTGACTCTTTCACTTCGCTTGGGCGCCAGCTTTTTACATCATCTTGACCCAGTCGCTCCTTCAAATCTTCCAGATCATTCGCCAGGCCCTCCTGCAAACATGGCACCTCGTCGCCGCTGGCGACCTGCAGAAAGTAAATCGCCATCAAGATGAAGGCGTAGGACGACAAGTTGCCGTCCGGCGCTCCGCAGATCTGATTTGCCTTGGCCCAAAGCTTCACAGCAGTGCCAAACTCCGGAATCATCGGGTCCAGCTGTGCGTAGGCGGCCAAAAGCTTGGAATTCGCCAGGGCCTTGAAATTGTTCACCGAAATGTCGACGTCTCGCGTCTGGTACTCCAACTTCAAGATGGGGACCCTGGCCGACAAAATCACTTCTTTCACCTTGAACTCTGGCTTGCCCAAGAGTACTTTCCGCAGCTTCATCAGAATCTCTTTGCTGTCGGTTTCCTCTGCTTGTGCGGCATCAGGAACTCTCAGCATGATATCCAAGTCACAGCCCTTCAAGCCAAAGCCGGTCGTCATGCTACCAAAAGCGTGAGTTTTCCACTGCCGCTCCGGTTCCAAATCCTCCACAATTTGGTCTAACGCCTTCATGCAAGCCTCCGCTTGCGCGGCATCTTCTGGAACAGTCTGCTCCTTGGCCTGCAGCAACGCGTCCAACTTCCAGCTCTGAACCAACATGTACTGCAGTTGCAGCGCTCCATCCCAGGCCGGGTCGACTGGCAAATCCGGTGCGTTCCACCCAAAAGCTTCGCTCTCGCGCTCTGAAGGCAAAACTGGAGCCGCTGGCACTGCAGCAGCTTGCACAGCAGCCTGCACGGCAGCTTTGACTCGCTCTTTCTTGGACTCCTTCTTGACGTCTTTGGATTTCTGGGGCTCCGTCTCGCGTGGCCCATGCTCATCTTTGGACATATTGTTTGGGACCGTCTTCAAGTCCGTCTTTGCAGTATCCCATTCGATCGGTTCCTTCTGCTGTTCCTTCTTCTGCTCCTTCTGCTTCTTCTGCTCCTTCTTGTTCGCCTTCGTGTCTGCCGTGCTCCATGCTTCAGGATCTCCATTCCACTCCTCGACTCTCAACATCTTTGGCTTGACCGGCTCGGGCCAGTAACTCCAGTCATAGTCCTCATACGTCCGGAACAGCTTCTCAACCGTCTTGCTCTGCCATCCGGTCCAGGTGTCTGATGTGTCTGATGTGTCTGGCTCCCGCTGCATGTGCAGGAACGGCACATGGATCCGCCTCTTCCAAGCGCAGTGCCGGCTGTTGCAGCGCCACTCATCGCTACGCCCACACACGCTGAAGTCCCGGGCCAGCTCGTGCAAGAGGGCCATGGGCTCCGTCACCAAATTGTGCTCCAAGCGAAGCCACAAGGGACTCAGCTGCTTGTCGCGGTTGGAGGCCGCTGCAACAATGATGCGCACGCCCTTGCCTGTCAGCTGGTTGTGCGACAGGTGAATCTCCTCAAGGCATGCGCAGCTTGTAATCAGCCTGGCGATATGACGAGCGCCATCGTCTCCAATCTGATTCTTGAACGCCTTGAACACACGCAACTCCGGGCAGCGGATGCCAAACTTCACCAATGGGTCGAGCCCCTTAGCTGTCAGATGGTTCTGTGAAACATCAACTTCCCCGTAGTGGGTGCCTTTCTTCAACCCCAGCGTCACCACATCCGAATCCGCCAGTTCCTGCTTCGCAAGGCTCAAGGCATCCCACTTCTGGCCCTTTCCCATGGCTCCGCAGATAAACTGCTGCCTCTGCCCGCACAAATTGGCGCGCGTCAGGCTGGAACCTCAGGAAAACCCGGGCGCAAGCAAGCTGACTCACTCTGAGATGGCCTGGAGACAACTAAATATTTCAGTTAATTTATGCTTCATTCGAGTTTTGGCATCTGGCTAATTCAAGATTCAGGGTTCGTTCATCCACTCGAAACTCTTACGTTGGAAGGACCTGAGCCAACAAAAAAAAGTGTCTGCCATGCACGTGGTTACCGCCCATGTTCAGCAACTTCTCCTCAAGTGGCTCATTGAATGGCCCCCTGGATTTACAGCTCTGCTTGCCAAAAGGCAATCAATCGCGTCTAGTTTCGGGGAATGTCTGGCACGCACCGGAAAAGAAGAGGGAGTAAGGGGAGAACAATATACCCTCCCACCAGCTAACATGAAAGGGCCTTTTTGCACTTCCATGTTAGTTGGTGGGAGGGTACTTCCTCCAGAAAACGGATCCAAAAAAGAACATGTCCGCTCCCCAAATTGAGTCATGATCAAGCAGGACAACCAGTCTACCCAAATTCCAGAAGGAATCATGGAAACCCGTTTTTGGATGGCATTGAACAGGGAACTGACAAGAAATCCACCAATTTTGGTGGCTTTGCGTATTCATGTCCATCGAGGATAGCCCTTTGGTGGGCGTGTCAAAAATCATAGCCGTCTCAGGCATGGTTGTGGACATAGCCAACTTTTGGTACCAAAGTGGGATTCTCATCCAGATGACTACTTGTCACTATGGGGATTCCACAAACAGGAATATTAAAAACCAACATGTCCACAATCATGAGGGTGTCTGGAAAAGAACGCACCATGTTAGGCTCGCGTTTGGATTTGTGGTGTGACTAATTGAATCAAACCCATAAAATTAAATGGCAATGGGTCAAAACCCTGTACCCCCAGTGAACATTCCAATCCTCACTAAAATAGACTAAAACGGGTGGTGCACCTATCCCAAAATGGTATTGAATCAACCCCATGAATACAAATCACCCCGTCTTCCACCATATGCATGCTTCAGGGTCAGCTCCGCGTCAGCTCGCCTCTTGCGCCCGGGACAGCTGTCTCTGCTGCCGCCTGACTGCTCTGAGAGAGCCCGACCCCTTTGCCAGATCCCTGAGTTCACCCTACATCTGGTTTATTGGACTTGGCCCTCCAGTAGAGAGGGTTAGAATAAGCATGAGGGTACCAAGTTGTTTTTTTCTGTAGTCGATTTTAGTAGGGAAACCCTCCCCCCAAAAAGGGGTTAAAGAACGGGCACCTAGCTGGGGGGGCCTTATGGAGGGAGGTGTGGAAACATCACGCAACATGCATCCCCTCTTTTGGGGCAACATGGATCCCACTATGTAGCATGAATTGTTGCCAAGCTTGCCAAACAAGAGGAAAGGCCTTCGGGGAATTTCAATGACACCGGCCATTCTGAGAAAACCAGTTTTCACGCATGAAGAAGCAGACATCTGGCTCCGAAAAGTTAAGAACCTACCCAAACACTGGGCTCGAAGTGAGTCCGCTTTGTGACGCCGCACGTGCCGGGATCTGAAAGATGTGGGTGTGTCGTTGTGTGGAATACTTCCCGCTGGTTCTAAGGTGGAAAACCAAGAGGAGAACCCGCCCAACATCTTGTGGGAATTTGGGGGTGTCCAACCCGAGGGGAAAAAAACAACAACAACCTACCCTGGGGGGCAACCATGGCAACCCAAAAAAAAACCGGGGGGGGGGGGGGTTGGGGGTCCAAGCTGCAAGAAGAAAAAAGGGGCGCGTCACCGTCCGCGAATACGGCGATCCCGCCTCTCCCGCTTCAGCTCAGCGCACTGCCGGAGCTCAGCGAAGCGCTGCTGCCGCAGCAGCACGGAGTCCTGGCGAGCCAAGTTGCAGGCTCCTTGGTGAAGACATCCACTGTTGCTCGGTTGCTAACTCTGCTAAAAGTGAATAATATTCTAGTGGTTTAATGGGGAAAACCAATGGATTGGTTGTCAGAAAGTTAAAGTCCTAACATCCAAGCAAAATGCACCAAAGCAAGTTCGCCTGGCCAGAGGGTCCCTTGGTACCTCATATTTGCGGATTTGAGATGATTTGAGGAATCTGTAATTGACGAATCCCCGGTTTCACCAAACCCAAAGCCGCAAATATGGGGTACCTTAGGACCCTCTGGGCTGAAGACATCCACATTTCTTTTGGTACCAACCTCGAGTTCGCCGAGGTTAGAATAAGTGGCTTTTGCGCGCTGCTGGGGTGCTGGGGTGGGGAAAAGCCACAAATAAGGTTTGAAGGGTTTAAACCCCTCTTGAGGTCATTTGAAGTGAACTTATACTGCTACTAGGTCCTCCAGTATAGAGGTTAGAATACGGGTACCAACTTTTTTCTGTGGTCTTTGTTAGTAGGGGGACCCTCCCAACCAAAAAAGTTGGGTGAGAAAGGGCACTGAGGGACCTAGCATTGGTCCAGGGCTTGCTACTTGGCCCAAATCTGGGGTACTCTGCCTAAATTGAATTGGAAGACCAGGCATCGCGTTCCCACTCCTGCACTCGTGCGCGTTGAGCAGCCTAGGCTGGACAGCACCACACTGAAGCAATGTTTCTTGGATCGACAAAGCAACATGCACTGCTGAGTGGCCGGTTGTTGGCTCTTCATTCAACAGCCTCGATGAGAGTCCTCTTTTTGTTTGGAGGTGTTCATGGTGGGCCCCAAACATGGAACTATGATGATGAGCTACTCAAAGACTCACTTCCTGAGATGGGCCAACAACAGCCAACAGTTGTTGAGTGCCACTAGCATGGTCTTCCCAACCGGCACACAGTCCAGGAACCAAAGTGAGAAGAACTTGATCGCTGAAGTTGATAGACCAAGAAAGGACGCTTCTGTTGAGCGAGGCAGGTTTTGCCCAGGCTGCTAAGCTTCTTTTGTTTGAAGGATCCTCAGAAACTTGAATCCATAACATGTTCCAAGCAGTTCCAGAAGCATTCCACCAGGAATCCACAATAATATGAACCCACGGAGTTCTTGGCTTTCGGACACTAAGCATCTCCAAGGGGCATCTCAGCCAAAAATCATGGCGCACCGTAGTTGCCTTCGGGATTTGCTGTCATCGCCTTGCTCACCTTCTTGGTATATGCTCTACATTTACCCAAACTTCACCCCAGAAGGAAACACGGTGAGTTGGCAACAAAAAGGTGATTCCTTTTGGTTTCGCCCTTAAACCCCGCAAAAACGGGGAACCCTCCGAAAAGACAGACCCATATGAGTCTATAGAAGTCTGCCAATGTTTTTCATACTCTTCTGGGGCTCGTGGGATAGGAAAAAATACAAAAGGCCTCTGGATGATTCATGGCCGAGACAGCCCGCAGAGGCTGCCTATACCAAAAAGCTTCTTGCAGATAGAGGCTTGCTTCGGCAAAGAAGTGTGGCTTATGAGAGGCAACCACTCACTGCCTGAGTGGATTGGTGAGAAAAAGTCCAGATAGGTTCTTTCAATTGATCTTCCCAACACGCTTGAAGTCCGGAAGCTGGGGAAGTGAGTACACTTTGAGGGGTGTACGCATTCTTCAAGCTAGTCTTGAGGACCTGCTTTAGGTAACCAAATGGTTGTTGTGTGAAAAACTGAGAGGAAAGACCTGCCTGGCGACTACCGTGGCAATCTGATCCATTTGGGACAGTTGCAATGCACCAACTCTTGGGGAGTCAACTGGATCCTCGCTCTTTCTTTTGATGCCGCGCATCGTGGCTAAAGACGCCACTTCTCCCCTGCGTGCGGAGCACTCATAGCCAGATGTTACGCCTTGCGCCACTGGTTGGCAGAGAAACTAGGCCTGCGTGTCCAGCTGTGACAAGCCGAGCCCTGGCTCAAACAGAGTAGACTCTTGGGCTGAGTGCTGTTTGATCACTTTCGAACTGTTGAAATGCGACTGCACCCATTCAACATCGTGACACATGAGGGGAGCCGCCTTGCTCTTTGGCCATCACAGCGCAAATCAAACTGCACAAAACCGATATCCAGCGCATCCGCCAGATATCTCAGTCATTTGCCTTCCGCAGTGCAGGAGGCGACGCTTTGAGGCTGGGAGGTGCTGCCTTCCCCTTGAGATCGGGGGGTGCTGCCTTCACTGCCGCCGGAGCCGCCGGGGCTTCTGCCGCCGGCTCGGAGGCGGACGCGGCGGACGCGGCTTGCGCGGGCGCGGCTGGCGCCGGCGCGGCCGCCGGCGGAGAACTGGGCGAAGGCGTCTTGAGGACGGGGGGTGCCTTGGCATTTGGCTTGGCCAGGTGGGGCGGCGGGGCTTTGTTCTTGGCCGGCAGCCCCGGGGGTGGCGCCTTCTTGGCGTTCGAGATCTCGGAGGAAGGGGGTGAAGGCGACGACGCCGGGCTGCCCCTCAAGGACTTGGGCGACAAACCCTCCGGTGGCGCCTTAGTCACGGGCTTCGCTTCCACCTTCTCGGCCTTTGAAACCTTCTCCGGCGGAGCTTCCAGCCTTGCCAGGGTCTGCGAAAGCCGTGCGTGAAGTGCCTGCCCCTGCTGAAGCGTCTGCTGGAGCTGGTCCAGGAACTTCTTCAACTCCGCAGCATCCGAAACCTGGCTCTCCATGGCTGGAAAACCCACCAAAGGTCACCTGACCAACGGCACACCTGGCAATCTGAGAAAACTTGACGCTGGCATCATGTGTTATATCATGTGCCTGTCTGCTGTGAACAAATGAGTGATGCGGGCCAACAAGAATGGCAAGGCGTGTTTTGTCTCGGAGCCAAAACGGCTTGGAATCGCACATCTGAGATCATGATTCACCTTGCAAAAGTATTGAGCCGCCAAAGGTGACTCATGGTCGAAGAAAACTTGTCTGAGAAAACTGTGATGATTGTCATGGCTGACCGGTCAAGTAGCCTTGGCTGCTTGGGTTTATTCATGTGATGCCAGAAACCATGATCATCGGCTTCCGGCCGCGACAAAGAACATCACTTCTGAACCGAATCCATGGGAAACCACACCACCTGTCCTTTCGCGGAAGAAGTGTCTGTGGTACCTGTTGAGGTGCGGGGGACAAACCTTGAAGTCAGGTGAGCCCCGAAAACAAGTAGTGCTTCGCCAAAGAACCTGGAAAAATTGGGTGGTCCGAATCCATGTTGTTGCGTACAGATTGGGATTCCCTTCTGCTCGCAAGAGACAAACCAAGTCCTGCCCAAAGAGAGCTACAGCAGGGGGAAGCCATTGCGGCCTACTGACTGTTAGTGACATCTTCAGGGCCATAATCGAAACATGCCAAGGGGAAACTTCCCTGGAAGCGCGGAATTGGAACACAACCCTGGCGATACCCATGTAGGATTTCCATCACGATGCCTGTTTTTGGTCACTCATTTGGCCACTCTCAAAAAGTGGCAGCAACCAGACCGATCATTGTCAACGATGACAACCCATGTTCAAAAGCCATCGGCAGCTTTATGGCAACCCCGAAAACCTTGCGGACGTGTTGTGAGAATGTGGCAAACTTGGAGACAACCAAGCAATTCACACGCCTCAGGCTGCACTGATTCGTTGTTTGACCTGCGACCGCTGTTTCTGCTTTGGGAAATGCAACAGAATTGGCAAAACCTTGGTCAACTCCCCAGAAAGGGCCAGACAATGCTGCCCCTTCGGCGACAAAAACTCCTGCCCTCAACTCAAGGATGCTTAAAGCCAGCCTTTGAGGGTGCGAACACCAGCGAACCAATGAAGGCACCTGGTTTCTGAATGTGTCACAAAGATTGGTGAATGACCAGCCAGACTCGTCCATACACCCTCCTGAGTAGAGAAAAGCAAGGGTTGTTGGAAAAGCTAGGGATTAAGTCAAACAAATACAAGGGCTGGTTTATGGGGGTCCTTCCTTGATTCCCTACTGAGAACCAGCAAGTTGTTGTTTATCGCAGAATGAGGGACCGCCCAAAAGGGCTATCTCTTCGGTTTCCCGACTACTCGAAGAAAGATACTTGATGAAAGTAGATGGCACAACTCCCACGGCAAGGGTGACTGAACAAAATTGGAGAAAGGAATTTCCATATACGGGTGTGTCCTTTTGGCTTGGCTGGAATTAGGACCCCAGCAAAAACAATAACTTGTTTGCCTGGTTTGTGGGGAAAAACAAAAAACTAATTCTGGGGAAGTTAGATAGTGCCCATTTCTTTTTGGGGGGGGGCTTTTGGGGCCAAACGGACAATTGAAACGCCATGTTGTCGGCTTGCCTGTCGCCTCGCATATTGCGTTGGGTGGTGCTTCTATTTTAGACGGCGGTGATTCCAATTCATGCACAACCGTTTTGGGAGTCCGTTCCAAAACACAACTGAAAAAGGGGAGTCTGAATCAAAACGCAGCTCTGCTTGGACCACTTTCCTTTTAAAGAGACCGGGTCCCAAACGTCAGGCAGGTTCCAGCCCGTTTCGACCGAATCTCAGCTTCCCCTTAATTGGTGGTTTTGGATTTGCACCTCTCCTTTTGAACCCAAATGTCGGGAAAAAGTAGCCCCTAATGTCCAAGGGGAAGCTGACCCAAACTTTAGGCAGGAGTCCCAATGATTCCAAACCAAATTTGGGGAAGACATGGGGATTTTGAGCCCCTAATGTCCAAACCACCAAGATGGCTGTGGCTCAAAAAAACGGGATTCCAAAATGGGTTGCCCTGGTGGAAACATGGACCAAAACCTGCGGTTTGCCCCTGCTGTTTCATTTTGAGCCACACCCAGATTTGGGGAAGCTGCGAATCCACCGCCGAAAACGCGGCCGAAAACGAAACGGTTCCGCGCGGATCTCCGGCGGCTTCGGACTTCGGCGGCGTGCCGAGTGGCGAAGCTCCGCTCCGCGGAGTTCAGCGTGGAGATGCGCTTCGCGAGGTCGCAGTGGGGCACTGAGGCACAGACCTGGCACGGGCCTTGGGAAGACGTTCTGACAGCTCCCGAAAAATATGTCCCGGGAGTCTCCTTCTTTGACCCTTTAAAAATCGTTGGTCACCCCAAACTGAAAAGTTATGACTCACCCCATTTTCGAGCGGAGACTCTAGGTCCCCAAAAAACACATCACCAAATTAACCACTCACCATCAGACGCTAAGGTGTGGCTTGCTAAAGGCTGGAGGACCCCAAGGGCTCCCGAAAAAATATATCCTTCAAACATCACGGGGCTGACATGAGTTGTTGGGCCAAAAAGGTGATGTTTAAAACCACCAAAAAGGCAAATAGAGATGGACCTGCTCAAACTGCCTGCAATTAAAGAAGGGAAGGTCACCACAAGAGTTGGGAGCAATCTCCAACTTGGAAGCATGAGGGTCACCAAATTCGAATTCAGGTCGGTTTGAAGGGAACCCCAAAGGAAAACCATTTGTATCTGTTTTAAGTTGTTTGTTTGGGGGACAATTATTTTAGAGTTGTCAAAGTCAGCTTTTTATTCAAGGGCCATTATGGTTTCTGATTTTGACCCCCAGAAACAATCAAACTGATTCCAAGCACGTGAGCAAGTCAAACGCTGACCCTGCACCTTAGGGGAGAGGAGAGGGGTCCCCAATTCCATTTTTGGAGTCAATGAAACAATGGAACTCCTTTTTAATGAACTTCCGGTGGTCACCCCTCCAATTCCATTTCAAAGGGAGATGCATGGCTAAAATTACCCAGGTTCCCTCAAGAGGGCATTAGAGAGTTCTGCCAGGTGCCTCCAAATGAAACCACCGGGAAATCGGTGCATGAAGGCCTGCGGCAACTGACCTTCTCTGTCCATGAGCCATCTGCATGACTTTTTGCCAGCAACTGGGTGGTTCCTCCCCACACATCCTATCCAGCGGATAAACAAGGGAGGAGAAGAGACATCAATCAGCCCTTTGAAGGACATTCTAATTTATGTGCTATTTGGCTGTGGCTCCAACAACCGGGATTCCAAAATGGGTTGCCCGATCGGTAAGTGGAAACATGGAAACCAAGACCTGCGGTTTGCCCCTCCGATCGTTTAATTTTTGAGCCACACCCATTTAGAGCAACCAGCGAAGTGCGGTAGGGCCTCCAATCCCAGGGGCTAATTGCACCCGGGTGACAAGTTGCCCGGTGCCGCCCGAGAACAATATTGAACATCTTGGTGCTAGTCTCACTTGCCGAGTGGATGGCCCAAAAAAAGTCCAAACTTTATATTTACCACTAAAATGGTCTTCCCAAAAAGTTTAAAGTGCATGAACTCAGGAAGTGAGTAGTAACCACTTTTAGTAGGGATCCCACCAAACAAAAAAACAATTTCTAGGGTCTCGAATCTGCTGAACCTCTTCAAAATGGAACCCTTTGCCACCCCGTGCGCCATCGGGAAGGATGGAATTTGCCTGATTGGGATAGCAGGGCTGTGGGAAATGATCACTTCCGCGAGAGGCGATCCCCGAAGATAGCACAGACGTTGGATAAACGACGAGTGATTCACCACAACCCATAGCATTGATCGCATTCAGTAGCGAGTTCATGGCCTCCACTTTGCTCAGGACGCGCCTCCAAGTACACCTTGCGCAGTCTTGCCTCGGAGTGGCATCCCCGAGTCGTCTGTTACTCATTGAAACAAAAACTGTGCGTTGTTTCAATCACTCTCAACACTATATGTTAAGCCGTAGGTAAGTCTTCGTCATTTTCCTTGTGAATTTTAAAGGTCGGCAGGCCCTTGGTTACCTATACAGGGAAATGGATTCACTGGGTTAAAGGGTTTTCTCAGGCATAGCTGAAAAGCGCCAAGTTGCAATCCTATGGAGAATGCCAACCAAAACACGCACAAAAGAGAGATTTGTTTGGAAGCATTCCCAAACCTGCATGGGGGGCTCTCATCACATGAGCCACGCGAGCCAAAACTAGTCCAAATCCAAAAAGCTAAACGCCCGGCAACTCAAACCTCATATGTTTCAAAGGGAGATCCTCGGACTCACAACGCGCACTTCAACCAAGGATACAAGAACATTCCACTTCAGAAACGCTTCATAAACCCGCGGCTGCTTCGCGAGTCGCATCCCTGGCTGCGCGCTGCGGAGATGTGGGTTTGTCTCAGGACCCAGGATGGTTTTGAAGTGAAAAGCGAGAGAACACCAAGCATCTTGAGGGGAGATTCTCAGTTGTTCAGTGACACTGGAAAATAAGGGAACCCTTTTTTGGGAAGACCATTTTAGTGGGGCAGCCACCAAAAAAAAAGGGGAAAAAGGGAGCCACTGAACAACTGAGGATTTCCTCACTTTTGACCCCAAACAATGCGCCCGCAGTTGTTTCCGAACAGAAAACGGGACCTTGGCCTTCGGCCACGCCGGCTTCACCGGCTTCCTCGGTTGGTGTGACCCTGGTAGGAACCCTTGTTCGGTTTACACGGCCATTTCAAGTGGGAAGATCGGGCCAACCATGGCAAGATTAAGAGGCTGCCTCTCGAACCCAGAACAAACGGATGTTTGAACTCGCATGACACGAAGTGTTGCCCTCACCTTTTGTTGGTGGGGTACTTAGATGGTCTTGGACGAATCGCTAAATGGAAAAGGTAACCCTGCTTATAGGAGACTTACCATGCTAAGTGTGTTACAACCAGGCTTACTAACCACTTAGCTATCTCCTAGACCAACTAAGTACCTCTTTTTCGATGGCTTTAGAGGGCCACCAACATGAA